AGTATAGCTATCTGTCATCAGACGAACACCAAGACCACTATGCGTTTCAGTGCGTGCGGTACATATAACTTGAATATTTAGGACGATATATGCACCAGATTGCACCAGACACTGGTATTGTACTTCATAGTAAATTATTTCATATTTTGTGTGTTACAGTAATTCACAGCAGGTACATTAATTTATAAACCTTATAAAGACCTTTCATTCCCATTGCCCATTCAGGGCTTTATATTTGAAGAATAACCCGACAGCTTCTTTCGACTTGTATAATGCTGCTGTGAGTCATCAATATTTAAATCAACTTTAAATAATCTTTATCGTATACTGTATAAATGACATTTTAGCAGTTTCACCAAACCATACTAAGGGCAAAGAACCTATCTATCAATGGAAACTTTAAAAGGCTTATTAAAACTCATTAATTAAGTAATTCTATGAGCTGGACTTCGTGCGCATATATACAGTTTATGAATTATGTATATATGTCCCTGATAAAACGTAGGGGCACTTTATACCAGATATAATAAAAAATACTTTGCTAAACCTTTTCGGCTATCATTCCTTTGCATTCAAGGGGCGAGGGTGAATGGCTATATAATTCATATCGGAGATTCTGTGCAATCTGATTTAGTGATTTTGGCTTCAACAAACAGGTACTCGTGCAGACAAAAAAGGAAATGCATACAGTTGTGAATTGTCGTATAATTCTTTACTGTTGATCCCAAACAATTTTGTACATGTACGTTAACACTCCTTCCTACCTTGTGTTGAATATAAACGATGATAACCTTTTTAAAAAAATCTAGAGCACTATGTCTATAAACCGTTTTAGAATCAATAGAATGGGCATTCAATGTCTATTTGGCTAGTGTCCAAATATGTAACGTTTGCTGTAGGACCAGCAAGGCGTAGCGCCTACGACCTACACAGTCGCTTTTGAGACCTCTATTTAACAAAATGTATACCGTTTCCATATGATAACAATTCAATGGCACATAAGAATATTATACGTATCTGAACCAGAGCCAGATACAGAAACGTACGCGTGAAATGAAACTGCGCCCTAACCCCGCGAGACAATAAAAGGGCAAATATTTCCAAGCAGTACGATCATACGTTTTCGTTGCTTGATTTTCTGACTTGTTAGTTGCTATAAGAATCTACAGTTTAGCATGTTTGTATAATTTAAAAGCAAACAGAAACCAATTTAGCAAGTATTTTGAAGTATATATGATTCTCAAAGATGATTGTATAGAACGGTCACTCCTTGCAATTGAAGTGTGAGGTGCGGAAGTGGAAACATGTAATTTGATACTTTTCCATCCCCCTCTTAGGTTATCAATTTTCTATGGGTCACGTGACCAGCCCCGACCAGGGTCTTTGCTTCACAAGAGCAAAGAGCCTGGGAACGAGGTTGTCAGGCAGATCGGTTATCGGCTAATCACATTGACATATATTACCATGTACCGGCCGTCCAATAAATATAATTCTGGCTTTTACTTGTGATATTTACTCTTCTTTGTCAAGAAAAACTATGTGGGTTTGTCAAACAGATTCTCTTTCATAAAGGAACTGTCAGATCTACTTACGCTGTTAGTCATTTACCCGGATACTTTTCCGAAATAAATTGATTACCACTGTAAATTGAGTCAATCTCTTCCTCGACTATCGTAACGACATTTCTGTTACTGGCCTGTTAACTTTTGTAATATTTTGCTAGCATTTTGCCCCAATTTTGAGTGTTGAAAATTCCTGTTAACAAATATCGGTAACCACAGATAAATCGGTTTCCTTTACTTCCCAGCTTTATCCGGTGAGGTGTCGGTGGTTCCACCATCTCGCGTGCTAGCTCTGCTCGGTCAGGCATTGAAATGGCAACAGTATCAAGGACTACTACCTCCTGGTACTTCCATTCATGTGTTCCGAGGCAAGGCAGCTGTACGCGACGAGGAAGAGGAAAAATATCCAACACATCTCAATAAAACTGTCAAGGTAATTATGGATTTGGCAAATTTAAAATTGATTATGCATGTGACCAATTTTAAATTGGTTACAGATATGACCGATTTTTATTGGTTATTTTGGGTCATTCAACATTGAGTGACCAAAAGAAATTAAATTTACCATTTGAAATTGGTTGAAAATGCAACCAATTATGTATTGGTCGGAATGACCAATACTGAATTGGACATTTTAACCAATTTGTTTTTATTGTGTATGCTGTATTTTTGTTTTGTAAGGTTATGGACAGTGGCAATAACACACCCTTCCGGAAAGGACCCCTCACTCATTTGGGTACCGTACACCCCTGATCTTGTGAACATTTATAGAATATTTCTCTATACATAAATGTCCTAGTTTGGTTCGAAATCCCATCCAGAATGTGGTTTGTTCTCGCCCGATGGACAGTACTTGGTGACTGGTAGTGTCGACGGTTTTATCGAGGTCTGGAATTTTACGACGGGAAAAATAAGAAAAGACTTGAAATATCAAGCACAGGTAGGTCCAGGGTAAATGAACAAATAATAGAGAGTTTAAGCTTCGCGTTATACGTCAAACGGCAAACGCCAGACAAAGAAAAATTTTACGGTATCAGGCAATAAAGAGTAAATGAACTTGCTGTTTTAAAACTGCAATGCATGATTATTCGTTCGACACAGGAAAGAAAATATGAAACGAAAACGTTCAACGAAAATTTTGCCAAGAAAGTTCGAACCTGCCGTTTGGCGTTCCCGAAAACGCGAAGCTTAAACTCCCTAAAACCTGGTTCACATATGCCTGCGGTATGCCTGCGACTGTATCATTATGCCTCTACTTGCCGCCGAAATACCGGCAAAGTTGAACTCAAGTCAACTTTCCCGGCCTACCGCCGATGTAACTGAGGCACTTGCGGCAATCGGCGAACAAATGTTCACATAATTTACGTTTTAAAGCTAGCACCGATATCGTCGCCGGTACGTCGCAGGCATATATGTGAACCAGGCTTTACAGTGCGTCTACAGTAAGTGGAGCCACTTAAAGTACACTAACCAATCACATTGCAGAACAAAAATTGAAAAAATCAACAAGCCGCGCATTAGCCAATCAGCATTAGGCCAAAAAATTTGAACAAATAAACGAATGTCAAACGGTGAAAATAGACTTGTAAAAGTAAACACTGCAGTTAATGGCTTCCTGAATCTTTCTTTTGATTGGACGAGCTTTAGTTTGATTAGATTTTTCTTTTTGTTTTGCAATGCAATTGGTTAGTGTTCTCTAAGTGACCCCACTTACTGTAGACGCACTGTAAACCGATATTACTGCAAATTGCATTTATGAAAATGAGTAAACAGAATGACCAATTTTGGTAATTTTTATTCAGGACAACTTCATGATGATGGAGGATGCAGTGTTGTGTCTGACATTCAGTCGAGATAGTGAAATGTTAGCCTCTGGTGGGCAGGATGGAAAAATCAAGGTTTGTCTTTTAGACTCTCACGAGTCACAATGAAATAGAAATTTTAAGTTTTGAACAAATAAAACAAAACTACTTCCGTCATTTCTGTTCTGCATGGTCACCACCACATTGAAAAGAATTTGCATAATTCCTGACCGCGTAGCTCAGTTGGAAGAGCATTGGGCTAGTATCGAAAGGTCGTAGGTTCGAATCCCACCGTGGCCGGGCATATTTTTCAAGCTCGCCCGGTGTGGATATACACTCAGAGTAACATCACAAATATCATATTCGCCTGAGTACACAACACCAACACAGAAAAATAATCATATTACTAGAATACATTGGTATCGAAGGAACTAGATTCTGTTCCGAAATATCACTTACTCGAACCGTCGTGACCGCGTAGCTCAGTTGGAAGAGCATTGGGCTAGTATCCAAAGGTCGTAGGTTCGAATCCCACCGTGGCCGGGCATATTTTTCAAGCTCGCCCGGTGTGGATATACACTCAGAGTAACATCACAAATATCATTTAGAGAAGTTATAACGAAATTACTGTTGCATTTCAAGCACTTGTTGCTGACGCAGCGAGCGAGCCTGAAGCGAGCGAGCAAGTCAGCAATTCTAATTCGTATTGGGGTCTGAAAGTAAGATTTTACTTCCGTTTCTCCGACCAGAATGCACTGCTGTTAACCGACCAGAATGCATTGCTGTTAACCGACCAGAATGCTTTGCATGCATGATGCTATAAATACGGGGGAATCTCATTAGTCAGTTTATAACGATGCATTTCTTCTGGTGTATTTTGTATTCATTGTATGGTCTGTTGATTTCTGGCTGGTCTTACACTATATATACTGAATTTGTTTATTACAAACAATTTATAACGCTTAGAAAGGGAATTTATGCGTCTTTTCTTATTTCATTTAGCACTTAGGTCTTAGTCTTGTGTTTGCACGTCTGAAAGCGTTCATTTCAAGCATTAAAAGCGAACCAATTTCATCTCGATTGTTGTCCATCAGTTTCACTTTGCTATCATTTAAACAGGGTTTAGTTTGTATACCTTTTGTTTGAATATGATTTGACTATAAGGTACACGGAGACATGACATCAACAGTCCGGCAACTGCCAACTATATGTTTATATTATAGCATGGCGTTTTAATTTAAAAGAACGATTCTTTGCGTGCTCTTTCATGGGTTAATTAAAATAATGTACTTTGCCTGCCAAAAAGCATACTGCTACACTGTATACACAACATATATAATTTAATTTAATTTAAGCATGTGCATTGTTTAAGCATGCAACGCAAGCAGGAGCAAGTCAGTAGGATCTTGCATGGGATTGAAGATAATGTGCACTGAATATTTTTTTATAATTGATCATGCTTTTGTTATGTTAGGCATGTGTCGAAGCATTAAAAACAATGTCCTCAACTCTACAGGGTGTATAAAAAAAACTGACCTGCAAACCTTTGATATACAGGGTGAGTAAAAAAAACTGACACCTATGCGGCTAATTTGAATATCAAAGGTATCAGGGTTTTTTTCCTCACCCTAGCCTAGAATAAAGATCAGTAACAGAAGGTCCACTCAGCGGTGCAACATGTCCCGTTTTTTATGCAAAAATATGCAGTTTACTGGCCAGAAGGCGGAGCAGCCAGCCAGTACAGCGTGTTTATTGGCCAGAAAATGTCATTGACTGGCTAGGAAAATGGCGGCCAACATGCGTAATGCGACATGCGCGAGGACAGAAACTTCAAAGCTTCCGACGTAAGTGGCCCTTCTATATGGATCTTTATTCTATGACAGGGTGTCTCAAAAAAAAACAAAATCATTGAAATAACGTATTGTTCGAATTTCAATGCCGTAACACAAAGGATTTTGACAGGGTGATTAATTTGTTTTAAAAAATTAAAATATCTTTGTAAAGTGAACGTTTGTTTGCTCATGGGAATTTAAAAATGCTTCGTAAATTCGTGGGTTTGGTACTTTATGCCTGACATAACAAGTTTACGCTGAGTATTACCATTCATTATAGCAGTTATGTCAATCTTTTATGCACTCGTGGGATTAACTTAGTACTAGGGCATTGAATATCGAACAATACGTCAATTTCAATGATTTTGGGTTTTTTTGAGACACCCTGTAGAAATTATCCCATTGTTATAATTTGAATGCCCTAGCACTAAGTTGATCCCACAGGTGCATAAACTTCTGCTTCTGGAATTTAAAATAAAAAAGCAAACCGTTTATTAGTGTAATCGTTTTGCTTGACTCGGGCGTTAAAATATTTGGACAAAGCGAAAACGTTTTAAAATGCTTAAATGTAAATACAAGTTCATTAAATTCCCAGGTGTGTAATCACGCGCGTTTAAGAGCGGCTTAAGAACAATGAGATAATTTCTATAGTGTCACTTTTTTTTGGGACACCCTGTAGTATGTTTTGCATAATTTGTTCTACTAAAATTTACATGTAATTTGTTAGCATTCCGAGTATTGTAATGATTACTTCATTGTTCTGTGTGAAGTAGCCGTAAAAAAAATTCAGGTAAATTTTGTAGACGTTTAAACCGGTCTTAAAGATATTCAAGATCTTTGAATTCTGAAACAATGGACATGGTTCAGTGTGTTCAAGATAAGATTTAAAACTTATCAATCTGATTATTTTTTCTGTATATATTCAGTATTTTCTGTAGCCTTGTTGGGTATAGGCTACGTATTAACGTACGTAGGCTATTATACCCCACAATATAGATTCCCATATAAGTAAGATATGGATAAACCAATTAATGCATAATAAATTAACTTAAGTGTATTTTTATTTGTGTAATGTCGTACTTTTGCTATAATTGCCGTAGATTTAATTATATGTTTAACAACTGAGTTTATACGGTTTTTCCATGTTAATTCAAGATCTAAAATTACACCTAAAAATTTGATATGAAAAGCCTGTTGTATAATGTTATCATTAAGTTTAATATCAATTTCAATGTCACATTTTTTATTTCTTGATTTAAAAATTATATACTTAGTTTTTGTTGTATTCATAGATAATTTATTCAAGTTTAGCCATTTAATTTGTTCTTGCATAACATGCGTTATTACGCACGGGAAATTGATACCTTTTTTCAGAAAGCGGTATCAATTTCCCGTGCGCGTAATACAAAATGACTGAAAAACTGCAAACCTCGCAGGGCTATATTGTCCGCATTTTACAACATTTCACAACGAAACGTCGGAATATTACTAATTTTGTAATGCTCTTTCAAGCTGTGATAAAAATTTTAACTGTGCCGATATTATTTAGGCGGTATATTCATTATACAGCGACTGTATAAGGTGCTACACCACAGAATAGATGGCTACACTCGGACACTCAGTATACACACGTAAAAATCTCACAACTTGTAATAAGTCTGCCAACAAGCCATCAACAAGATGTATTCGCACTGCTTATCACAAGTTGTCAACAGGTTTGGAACAACTTTTTGACAACTTGTAACAACCTTGTCAAGATTATCAGACTTGTTGCAAGGTTGTTCTGACAAGTCCGTTATACATGCTTGATATAACAAGATTGTTACAACCTTGTGTTGACAACCTTGTAACATATATCATGGCTATAACAAACTTGTTAGCACAGTCTTGTAACAAGGCTTATAATGTCATGAAGCTGGTTACAAGTTGTTAACAGCTTGTTTCAAACTTGTTTACAACAAACTGGGAAGAAGCAGTGCGAAGACAACTTGTTCATAGCTTGTAAACAGACTTGTAACAACTTGTTTGCAGACCTGTAACAACTTGTGCGTTTTAATATGTCTAATTGCACTTATATCTTAGTATCAAATCACACACCTTTAACAATATGGATGTATACACGTCATATTATTATATAATTATACAATTTATCGGAATCACACAACGTATACTCAAACTTGATTGGTTGGGATGATTCTCATGGATAAAATTACACTCACACTTTATACTCGCATATTATATTGTTTTGTATATAGTTTTAACTGACCCGCTTGATGAGTAAGAATTGTCAGTAAATATATCTCTAAAACCTTTGTGTGGATTTTCTGTCATTGTTTGCAACTACATAATCGAAAGAACTTCCGCTTACTGTTCTCGATTGTCAAAGAGACACTAATACACAACACAAATTACTACAGTACATTTCTTCAACTGACTACTATTGTCTATTACATCAAATATTCACTGCTCAAGAAAATGAATATCAGGGCTCGAAATAACGGCCGATCAATGATCAGCAGGAAATTGTTTTTGATCGGCGAAGAAGCAACGTTGCCGTTCATCTTGATCGGCAGAAATAGATTTGGCCGTTGATAAATATAAGTAACATAAAACACATTCAAAAACACGCGAAAAGCTCTTGTTTTGTTGATACGAGTCATACGACATGAAAGGCCGCAAGACTATTCTCGCTCTAAAGTAATTTACTATAAAACAAATTTGCATGAAATACTGCCGTCTCTTCAACAGTTTGCAATCCGGACCGCTGACGACGAACGTTTTTGTTATAATAATTTCAATTTGATAGGATTTTAGTTTGAGTAGGATTCTTTCTTTTTAGTAAGATTTTCTCTTTTAATACTATTAAATAATAAGTTTTAGTTCTCAGTTGATAATGCTGCTGTGTTCCTTGCTTTTGCGTGAAATGCAATAACTATAATTAAAACTTGAAAAGTGCTTTAATAAACTAAAGTTTATTAAATGTAGTTACACTATTAGAATCCATATATAATCCAAAAATGTCGTAGATTTAAACTTGAATTTGAAATAAAGTTAATTACCATCATATTTAGAATTTTTTCAAGGAAACTTAGTCTTATAAGACAAATATACTCCTGATCGGCCAAATTTTTATTTGATCGGAAAAAAGTCGTGATTGCCGATCACCATATTGAGAATGCTGTCTTTGTAGGATCTGGAAAAAAGTAAAAGTGCCAGCTATAAGTAATCCGGGAAACAAAAATGTATTTAAGGCTGACTCAGTAT